AGAAGCTAATCTAAAAGGCTATAAACGGTTTGATTCCAACTATATGATATTTTAAAAAAGGAAAAACTATGGAAACAGTAAAACCCATATTGTCAGGGGTTGCGGTGGGTGGCAGAGGAAGGAGGGATGAATAGGCTGAGCACAGAGAATTTCTGGGCAGGGAAATAAACTGTATTATGCTATACTGATGAATATATGTGTCCAAGCCCGGGTAAAACACCAAGAGTGAATCAGTCCTAAGGTAAACTATGGCCTTTGTAGAGTTAGGATGTGTCAATGCAGGCTCATTAGTTGTGATATAATGAACCACTCTGATGGAGAATGTTGATGATAGAGGAGGCTATGCAGGATGTATATGAGAAATCTCTGTCCCTCCTTTCCATTTTACGCTGAACCTCAAACTACCCTAAAATAGGAAGATGGAACACATGTTCAGGAACACCCCTGTCTAAAGTATAATTGAGCTGAAACAAACATTAAAGCTCGGTCCGATTCTACTATTTTATAAGTAGCCTTTTCTCCATATTCACACATGACTTTTAGAGTTATCTAGATGAGTCATGCATTCCTTCTAAAATGGTATCCTCACCACTTTGCAAGGATCGGATGCACAGGGAAGTGCATATTTATCCAAAGTCACACAATAAGGATTTGAAGAAAGTTGCATTTAGGTTTGGACTCTTAGTCTAGCACTTACTCTACTATGTTAGCTTGTTGTTATTGTGGTTGTTTTTTAAAATAACAACCAATATTTACAGTTTCATTTAGATTATCCAATTTGCATTTCACAGTGAGGCAGAGAGGATGTAATTATCTTTGATTATAAATGAGGTAATTGAAAAAACTTCAAGAAAATAAGTGACTTTCCAAATAATGAGATTGGAATCACATATCCTAATCCCATTAACCAATTAAACACATAGTTAGACAGATGCCTGCTATGAGTTCAAGTTCTATGTCAAGAGCTAGAAATTCAAAAGGAAGCAAGGTTTCTGCCCTCATGGAACTTGCATCTTTTTAAAATATATGTTTTTATTGATTTCAGAGATGAAGGTAGAGGGAGAAAGAAATAGAAACATTAAGGATGAGAGAGAACCATTGATCAGCTGCCTCCTCCATGCCCCCCACTGGGGATCGAGCCCACAACAAGGGTATGTGCTCTGACGGAGAATCCTACCATGACCTCCTGATTCACAGGTGAATGCTCAACCACCAAACCTCTCCAGCCAGGCAGATCTTTCATCTTAATGAGAAAAGACAGAATGAAAGAAAAACTGAGGAGATATTGATAGGGAGCAATGAGGGCATTGAGGGAAAGTATAACCTCCCAGGGTGAGTGGCATTTGCTTCTTTGGATGAGACGTTTAGAGAAGGCTGATCTGTGGAATGGACATTTGTGCTAAGAGCAGGGACAATAATATTCCACTTATACAAGCCCAGAGAGAGGGAGACAGTCAGTGAAACTGGGAAGTGGCATCACCAGAGTCACAATTTATACTATGTTCTTAATGCAGTACACGTTGTTGGCCATTGGAGGTAAGCAAGAAAGGCTGGTGTAGCTGAGGCTTAATGAGGAAGTAGGAGTGTGGGTAAGCCTGAGGTCCAAGAGGGGCCCAAGAGTCAGACCACTCAGGTCTTGTGAGTCATTGGAAAGAGCTGGGATTTTATTTGACCAACTGTGTCATCTACTACAGTGTTTTCAGCAGGGAAATCATGAGATCTGATTTACCTACATCACATCAAACATTAGGAATTCCTTCTCCCTAATGTTTGATAATTCATACTTAGGAACTGCTTCTGAGGCCAGCTACCATCAGTCCTCTACCTGAGATAATAGGTGAGGGGAGAGAGGCAAAGTGTATAGTTGGGAAGAGCTGGAGCTGAAACTGTACCATACACTACTGCATGGAAATACACTGGTGAAAAAAATGGTACATTTGAAACAGTATTGATATTGACAAAGATCTGTGTCTTGCCAACATGGGAGAGCTTTGTGGGATATAAACATGTTTTAATATATTTATTGCAACTCATCACTGGTGGTGTCATTATGGTATGGTTACATTAGGCACATTTATGTCTGCTATTCAAAGTTGTTGGTATGTTGATCTGAAAAATTTATGCCTTTTTGAGGAGATAAGGTTTATTGTAAGTGTGTTAAGCCAGCGCATCAAGGTCAAAGTTAATATATATAGATATGTCAGTGAAAATGACCACATCTTGCACAAGAGGAAAGTTGCAATTCTTTCTTGACTCTGAGCACATAGAGCTTAGGTCAGTATTTGACATGTACTTGGGAAAGAATGTGATGGATGTATTGAGTTAGCTAGAAGAAAAAATTAGGCAAAATAACCATAGGTATATGATTCCCAGACTTATAAGTGAAGGTGTTAAATTTTTTTCCAGCAGTTTGCAGTATAGATTTTTATAATCCTTTTTAACATCTTGAAAATAGAAGAACTTGCACAGAGGTTTAGTGACTTTCAAGTCAAGCAATTAATTGATGATGGAGATAATACAGGAATATCTTTCCTAATGGAAAAGGCTGAGATTAATGAAGACCCTTAAGACCAAAAACACTAAAAAGATTAAGCCAATTGAGTTCCAATCATCAGACTTTTTCGTAGGCAGATGAGTATTTTCAGTAATGTTCAATGAGTTTTCTTTTTCTTTTTCTTTTTCTTTTTTAAAAAAAATGCTGAGTGATGAAGGAAGTGACTGTTAACAATATGGGAAGAAACGCTGATGGCACTTCTCTCCCTCATCACTTGCAGCACTTCGTTCAGTGCAGTCGGTGGCCTTATTACAAGCAGAAGGGCCCGCTCCTGTCCAGCATTCATTCGGTATTTCCTGCTTAGGAAGGTGCCGCTGGGAAAGACTGAAGATGAATGCACTGAGAGCTCTGAGTGTCGCAGGATGAAGCTCGCTTGAGTGCCAGTGTGAACACACTTATTCCTGGGAGTGAACATTATTTTTCCTTTCTCCCCGGACTCCGATAGAATGTCTCATCATGGACATCTAGGTGCGCACTGCACATACTTACCAAATCTGACTCCCAGGTTGTCTGTTTGGTAAATGCTCTCGGAATCACCAGTGTGCCAGACACATGCAGCTGTTCCTGTCTGATTGAAATGCAGCTCCTGACATTTGCTTGTGAGGCCAGCTTTGGCAGTCATGTAGGAGGGAAGGCGATTCTGTGTCAGTTAAAATGCATTCACATTTTAATTGTTTTTGTTCATTTTCTGTTCAAATAGCTCTGGAAACTTTGCCCACAAGTCTTTGTGTGGAAGTCCTGGGCATTTAGTCTTCCCTGGGGGTTCCTGGTGCTCAGGTAGATCCATTTGGCCCTGTTTCTCTTTGATGTGATCTCATGTTTATAAATTATTGTGTTTTCCTTCTTTGTAATAAGACATAGGATGCGATATAAGGGAGGGAGGGAGTGTAATTAGCATTACCACTCATGGGGAAAATGGAAATATGACTAACTATCTCGTTTCCTTGGAGCCCTAGGGATGAGCTTCTGTGATTTGGAAGCATTTCGTGAATTTGCAAAGATCTTTAAGACCAACTATACTTTACTACATTAATTTCTTATTGATTTTTAGCAATTTCAAATTCTTAAGGCTTAGCTTAACATGGACTAATCGGCTTTTTAATTAGATCTGTATATACAAGTACAAAGTGTTGTTGGAACTTATATGAATTGTTTCAAGATTTAGGAGAAAGAAAAAAAAAACACTTTTTCCTTTATTTGATAGCGGTTTTTTTTTTTTTTTTTTTCATGGAGATCAAGGTGAAAACAAATTGGACAATTTTACTCTTTTGTTAAAATAGAATATTTTAAAAGTATCTTTATAACGGCTCTTTAGAGCATGGCATTTTCACTATTCAATGATAAGATAAACTTCATAAAGTAAGAAAATGCTAAGATTTCATCTTGTTTTCAAGAAATGCGTATATTTTCCATTCGGTTTTCTATGGTGCTAATTTATTTACTAAGGGGCCCATATATGTTTCTTTTATAAACTGGAATATCATAGGATGATTTACTGAGGGCAATACATATGAAACAAAATGCAAAGGTCTATGATCTCTGTTTTTCAGTGGGAAATGGGTTCAACCTCTTCCACTGGGTAATTATGCTTCCTGTATCAATAAGACATGTCTCATTGAGCCCCGACTCTTATCATCTTTCCCTGGGGTTAATTCAGAACCTCCCAGACTTACCTCTTCATCTTCTTTCTCTGGCACACCAACTAGCTCACTGCACTGATGGCTGGAGGCTGGGCTTATTTGGAGGTTTCTCTGCCCCTCTCTCTGTCTCTGTAGTCTCTATTTGGTCTTGCTAGTTTGGTGGCTTCAGGGTAGCTGGACTTCTTACACATTGGCAGAAGGCTCCTAAGGCTCATACTCAGAGAAAGAGGGAAAGCCAGCAAAAGCTGAATTTTCTTTTTGGCCTAGTGCCTAAAGTCACATACATCTCTTCTTGTGTTCTGTCAAGGTAATCAGAGACCTACTCAATTTCAAGGAGAGGGGAAAGAGATCACACCTGTTGGTAGGGGAGTGCAAGGATCTGGAAGAGCATGTGGGACCAGAATGTGGGATTAATTTTTGAAAATATTGCAGTTTATGTCTTGAAATGTCATTTTAAGCTATGGTTTGGGATTATAAAATTTAACAAATTAGAGTACTAAGCCTTGTTTTAGGATTCTAAGTCTATTTCAGATAGTACTATTCTAGGTTTGTTGTTATGTTTTGGGGAAGAATTTGGAATTTTATAGTTCTTTTTGATAAATTGCCTTAGTATTGATCATATATATGCTTGAGAGCAAAAACAAAATTAACTTTATATATATATATATATATATATATATATATATATATATATATATATTTGATTGATTTTTTTACAGAGAGGAAGAGAGAGGGACAGAGAGTTAGAAATGTCGATGAGAGAGAAACATTGATCAGCTGCCTCCTGCACACCCCTTACTGGGGATGTGCCCACAACCAATGTACGTGCCCTTTGACCATAATCAAATCCGGGAACTCTCAGTCCCCAGGCTGATGCTCTATCCACTGAGCCAAACTGGCTTTTGCTAATTGAACATATTTAAACAAGTATATGTTCCTGTCACAATTTCCCCACAAGTAATGACCATATTGAAATAATTATAATTCCAAATCATGTTAAAGTTGGTTTCTTTTTGCTGACCTGGTTCAGCAGGTGCTAACCAAATTTAGGAGGACTATTCTAATTTTAGCATATAATATCCAGAAATGAAGTGAATGCAAAGGACTCTGTGACCTTCAGAAATGAAATTACACCCTTTCTAGCAAAGCCTTTTATTTCTAAAATGTGAGAGAATGCTGGAAGTAGACCTGACTCATTAATGCCCCCTCCTTACCACATTATTCTGGATGGCCAAAGCATCGTTTTTGAGAACCTATTTTGTGCAGGCACACTTTTTTCCTGATTGCTTTGCATAGAGATGAGTGCTTTTTCAAGGTTGAAGGCTTTGGATGAGATAAAGGCTGCTATTGAGCTAATCAGAGCATATGTGGGAGGTTAAGGGGTCAATGATTTTCTAAGAAAAACAGAGCCTTTTCTCTTTACCTTTTTCTCTTTTTAAATACAAATCTGCTCTACAAACCTTCACATTTCTTATTATTGTTTTGCTTTATTCTCCTCTTTACATTCACTCTCTCTTTCACACCAACACCCCTTAAACATACGCACATGCAAACGCCTGCGTGTGCACACACATACACACATATATGATAATTTTAAGAGAGAATCAAATCACTATTTCCATGATAAGGGCCTTTATTTTGAAAAGGATTATTTTGCATCATTATGGATATTGCAATCAGTTGGTATATTTCTACTGCCTCACTTTAAATTTATTCTTTACAGAACTTACATACTTTGGTGTACAACTTTATGCTTCTAGATTAGTCATGCTTCTAGAATATACCATGGCATTATGATATGCCACTTTTTAAATAGATTTTTTGCTGATAGGTTGACAGCTTAAGCCTATACTTGAAGTTCTATTTTGTTGTTTCTAGGCATTTTTATTTAGACTATTATATTTTTGCCCTGAGATAATTCATGTAAAAGGTGCCATTCCAAAAAGCAGAATAAATACCTGCATAATTCTTTAGATATTTCTCTCTCTCTCTCTCTCTCTCTCTCTCTCTCTCTCTCTCTCTCTCTCTCTCTTTTTTACAGATTAAGAGAGCTAAAATGCTACATTAAAGGAACTTCTTGCTTCAGTAAAGGACGTTCTGGTTCTTGTCCTCAGGGAGACAGAGTGCTGATGATGTAGCTTCATGAATTGGAGGTCTTACTGTTAGCATTAGTTGGAAGTAATGAGGTCATTTATGAAGCACTTTTCTTGTCCTCACTCATCTTTGTGTAGCCCGGTGACACCTATAATGAGGTATCTGTCAGGGACAAGGTGCAATATTAGTTGCCAGCATTCGGTTTCTCCAATGATTCAGTGTTCCTAGAAATAAAAAGGAAAAAAAAAACAAAAAGGGGAAGAAGATCAATGCAAGAATGAATAAAGGAAAATATAGGCACATGGGAGGCAAGAGAGCAAAAATTAGATTACATACACAGAAACAATTCCTGTGTGATTTGTTAAATGATGTAATTTGAAAATGTGAGAAATGAAATCTCTGTCAAAGGAAATAGCATGGGCATATGGACCAAACTGAGTCAAAATTGTAGAGTGGAATTTAATTTTCTTAATGTTTATTTTCTTTCAGAATCTATGGCTATGAAGACAAATTCATCTTTTCTCTGAATGTTTTAAAATGTCTTTCTGAAGCCTAGGCTATTACCAAGCTCTTAGTTATTTGTTATGAACCTTAGGTGGCTAGTGATTTTCTATACTCAGAAATAATAATTTCAACAACATATTGAATAGCAAATATGAACCAGAAATGCTGCCATATATATCTCTGAAAAAAAATAGGTGAAGGCCAGCAGAATACACCACCTCAAAATATGTCTTTTTGGCATAAGGATTATTTTAGGATGATTATTTTTGAGAAACAACAAACAGGAAAAGCTCTGAAAAATGAGAAGTTACTTTTTTTTTTTTGTAAGAGGCTTTTACATATAAAGGAAAATCTCCATCTGTAAGGGTATCTCCCTCACTGTACCAGGAAGGGAGGATGACTCTGAACATCTAAAAATGCTAATCAATGGAGAAGCCAGTATTTTAATCTGCATAACAACCATACTCTTGTGCTTTGCCTGACAACCTTCCCTATCCTCCCGCCTTCTGCCCCCCCCCCCCCCCCCCCCCCCCCACACACACCTTTAACACACATACCTTTTGTCCTCAGTTTGAGGTCCTAAGGTGGTGGTTTAGGTCATTTTGGGGAGTTGCTCAGTTTTCCTGGGCAGCTCCTATGTATACAGGAGACATACATGCTATTAAACCTTTGTTTGCTTTTCTCCTGTTAATCTGTCTCAGCCAAGGATCTAGAAGATAGTCTTTATGAGGATAAAAACCCATCTCTGGATAATTCTTTGTAACAAATTTGTAATTTGCTATTATTTGTAAGTTGTGTGAAGGTGGAAGTGATAGCTAGAAATGAGAACTTTAGGTTTCTAAACATACTAATTCCTTTATAATTTCCACTCATGGGTTCATAGATTTCCATTCAGTTCATCTTGAGACAGGCCACTAACCCAGGACAATCAGAATAGGGAAATAAATAGATAGTTAAATGTCTAAGCAGTTTGGAATTATCTAGTAAATCTCAAAATCCTGTCTTCTCTAATCAAGGACACTTAGAGTAAATGGTTTATACCTCTCCTCCCTGTCCAAGGATGAATAGCTTAAATCACCCTCATATCATCATAATTACCTAGATTTTAATATTAATAATAGAAAGAGAGCAAAGGGAAGGCCAGCCAATATAAGCATGGTCATCTGGGCAACTTGACCAGGAAGCTGCAACTTCCCCATCCCCAGGAAATTACCAATCTATTCCCTGCAGATCCCTGGGGGAAGTGGTCCAATAAAGGGGAAAACAGGGATGTGCACTGTGAAGTCTGGCTGACATAGGACAGGTGCTTGCCTGTCAATCTAACCCAGGAGAAAGATAATTGACTGGTCAGTTGTGGGGAGAGAGAGGAGGGAAACACTGAAAGCTCATGAAATCCTTAAGGATTAATTGGTTTAACTCCTGGTTATAATCTAGAAACAAAAAACTCGCTCTCTTTTGAGCTCCTGTTTCTTTTGCTTTCTTTCTCTTTTTTATAAATACATTTTTATTGGTTTAGAGAGAGAGGGAGAGAGAGATAGAAACATCAATGACGAGAGGGATTCATCCATTGGCTGCCTCCTGCATGCCCTGGGATAGAGGCTGCCACCCAGGCATTTGCCCTGACCAAGAATGGAACCATAAACTCCTGGTTCATGTGTCAATATTCAACTACGGAGCCATCCACCAGGCTGTGCTGTTGTCCCTCACTTTCTCTGTGACCCACACTTGTTGTGTGCCTTCATAGCCATGAGGCCTTAAGCAGCCAGCTAAACTAGCCAGATACTGAACTGGACTGTGCTTTAACGTGGAACAGAGACTCTGGGCAGTGGCTTTAATGTTATCCCTGCTGGAAACAAGAGTGGACTTTTATCAGAGTGGGAGGAAAAAAAACAGGGGTTTAATTTCATAGAAATAAAGATCACCTATTCTCCCATGTGTGTCTCTGGAAATTTCTTCCCTTGGGACGCCACAAGAATTCCACTTCCATGGACAACAAGTGGGGACACAGAATGTTGTAGTGTACCCCAAGAGTAATACACAGGAGGCAAAACCAAACCAATGAGTCATTTAATCAATAAAGTCGGCGACTGCGAGGGAGATGCAGCTCCAAATCTTGCAGCCAGGAATGGCGGTCACGTCAGGCTTATATAGCCAAATATCACAAAGGTATCCATTCTATCTTTAGGTTTGGAATGAGGAACCTGGTTTGCAAAAAGCAGTTACAGAAGCTAAATTGAGCAAGTTAGTTATCTATAAAGATTAATTATAGTTTTAGGTCTTGGAACCACTGAGTCAACAGAAAACACATTTTCTGGAGCCACTGAAGCAATTAAAGCAATTGTGCTGTCCCAGTCTCCAGGTGCAGAGGACTGTGTTTGGAAAGACCAGTAAAACCACAATAAATGGGGTATTCAATCGAATGGGATGATTTATATAAGTTCAGAAAATCAAAATAACTTCTCTATTATTTTAGCAAGCAAATAAGTACAGAAGCCAGAGCAGCAGGGTTAAAACTTAAATAGCAGTTTTACCCGAGATGATTGCTACCATGCTGCAAGAGGACACCCCATTGATAACACTGTTGCTTCTTCTATGCTAAGCCCTTGTTTCACTGCCCCTACCTTTAATAAAGCACTGAAATATGGAAATTTAACTGAAATGCATTGTTTTCCTCTGGGCAGAATGCAAAGATGATTTACCAGGTTCTTGTCCAGGTGGATTTGAAGAATGAAGCCATAGACAAAAGGTGGTATAGGAAAAGGGAGAAATTTGGGGGGAATCAAGCACAGATTTCCATGTGGAAAGGGCATTTCAAGGAAGAAACCCACTAAGTCCCTCTTTCCTAAGGTTTATATAGCATGCAGTTCTTTGTGACCTGACATCCCCTCTGATTGGTCACTACAGCAGTTTCAGAGCTCAAACCCCAAGTAGGGTCCCCCCTTTTTTCTCCCTTTTGTTTTTCTACTCCCTATGGCTTTCTTTTTGGTTCTGTGAAGAATGGCTTCCTCTCCCTCTATTCTGGAAATGATTGTCTTCCTCGCCCTTTATTCTGTGAATGTATGCCTTTTGGCAGCTTCTGGCCCCAGATTTGCAGCCCTGCATTTCTCCCCTATGGACCCTCTATTCCTAAAACTCCCTAAACCTGCCTATTTTACACCTACAAACTTTAGTACTATCAAAAATTACCTGGGCTTGTGTCGTGAAATCTTTCCTGCACAAAGTCAAGAACCTACATCCTACAGGCCCGCCTAAGGCAAAATCAACAATCTCACAGTCAAAACTACTCACTTTCTCTCCCATTAGATTTTCAGTGTGGGTTTTCTCCTTCCTCCATCCCATGGACAAAATAAATCCTTCCATTACTTCACTCAGTAGACACATGTCCTATGACATTGAATTTATTTCCATATATTAGTATTCACAGATGGCTCGGTTCAATACCAGTATACAGGGCAGTTTGAGACAGTTTGGTTCTCTAGCACAGAACTGAAGCGGCCCTGTGGCTGTGGCAGACATGTGGAATGACCTGGTGCACAACTTATGGATATTCGTGCAGGAAGAAAAGACCTTTAAGGTCTCCCTCTTTTCATTTGTTTTAGTGTGCAGGCGGGGCTTGCTATCTGAATCTTAAGACACAGTAGACTACAATACTGTTATTCATTTCAAATTATTAACATTTAACTCAATTGTGTTCCTGAAAAAGACTGAAAACTATTTGAGGTTTTTTTTTTTTTTTTTTATAACATTAGTTTAGCTGTAATTTTAGTGTGGAAAATGCCTTAAATAATTTATTTTGGGATACACAAAAATTAAGTGAGCAGGAACAGAGCTTGTAAAGAAAGTAGAGAGATACTGTATTGAGTCTTTGTTCTTCAGAAAGTTGACAGACTGCTTGTGTATGTGTGAGAGGGAAGGCATTAAGATCCCATGGTGTCTATTTAGGCTTTCTAAGTAACGACGCAATTTCATTGGGTTCGGAGTGCTTGGGGTAGATAAATGGCTGATGCTCAGATTCAAATTCAACTCTTGCCTGAAGGCCCTGTTTTTTGAAAAAACTGAAATAGCTTATAAATTCCCTGAATGCAAGGGAACAAAAGTGACTGTTATTCACCAATTAAATTCTTTCTTCCCAGTGCAGAAATCAATCCTGTACTTCTAGTCTGTCCGGGAGAGAAAACTCTAGGAGAGCAACCAGCTGTGGTGACAGAAGGAAAGACAATGAGAGTTTAGAGGTGGGAGCCACGCTTGGCTAAAACAGGGAAGGGAAATGGACTCAAATTGGCATCATGTGTTCACTGAAGGGCATGGATCCCACATTCTTGGCCTAACCTGCTCGAATCAAAATAGACCACATGGGGCACAAGGCTGAATTGAAAAATCAGTGCAGGCTGCCTGGTAGCTTCCCAGAAACGTGAAGGAGCATGTCTGCGGTCACATCCCAAGGACAGCCAGAAACCAGTACTCAGTTCTCACTTTGCTTGCAGTGACTATTAAAGAAAAGTCCAGGAGAAGATTGTTGGAGTAATGATGCCAGCTTAGTATGGGTGAGTGGGGACCAGATGAGTGGGAGCATTGTGGACTGAATGCAAAATACATTAGGCAGTGATTGTAACTGAGTGAGGTTAAATTGGAGGATTTTCAGGGGCTGTGACTAAGGCATCACATTGCTCACAGCTTCAGAAGAGAACACCTGTAAATTAATGGAGCTAATGTAGGCCAGACCTCTGATTAGAACATCTATTTTTCAGAAGTTTTATTTGTGGTCAATTGTCCTTTCTGGTGCTCATCAATAATTGGTGGTAGAAAAGAATTCTTACCCTGGTTAGCTGTGAAAAAAAGCAGCTCAGGAGTGCTGGAGGAGTGAATGGGCTCTAGATTTTTTCCACATTCAACTCCCCTCCCCAGGGTTATAGAAACAAGGAGTGTGATTTACCTCTGCCATGGGACATGGTGGCTCCAGGTCCTTCATTCCAGCTGAGCAATCTCTGAGGATCTTCTCACACTCTCAGTTTGCTTCCCCATGGATAGGTGGGTCTTTCTGGGTCACAGCAGGGGAAAATAAATGGTCATAGAGTTTCTTTCTTTTAAAAATGGTATTCTTAGGATAATCCAATGTTTTCATTATTTTATATCAAAGTCTATTACAAGAATAGCTCACAGGATTGCAGCCTTGAAGAAGCATAGAGCTGGAGCTTCAGAGACTTCTAGCTTGCTTTGTGTTCTTTCTTTGTAGGGCTCTGAATAAAGACATACACAGGCAACATCACAGAGGTAACTCCAGCTTAGTGATGGCAATTTCTTACTTTGTGTTTGAAAAGTTTTACTTCCCAAAGGACCTAGATCAGTAAGCCCTTTCAATCAGGCTTGGGTAGAATTGTTGAAGACTTCATTTAAACATAGAAATTTAAAGTTGCCTATGATTGTGACATTCATTATCCCAAAGAGAATTATTTCACGTGTGTAGCTCATGCACAACTAAAATGCATATGTCCATACACATATATCTACCAAAATATTTTTAGGAGGGTATTTCTTTATTTTTGGTAACGACACTGAAGAGGTGCAAAGAAAGCCTACCTACATCATGCCACCTGACTGGAAATTAAACCTTAAACCTTTCTTGGTGTATGAAAGGATGCTCCAACCAAGTCACCCGGCCAGGGTGTTAACTTTAAAAACAGCCCAGGGGAATTTTGTAGGAAGTTCTATTAAATCTATAGTATAATATTTCAGTTTGGAAGATCCATGGTTTACTCAAACCTTATTATATCATGTTTTTCATGAAGATCCAACCTAGATTGTGCTTGCTACATTAATGGAATTTTAAAAATGTAGTTCTTAGTGGCTAATTGAAATGTGCTTTTATTACTTTTTTTTCCTTATAAGAGACTATATTACTTATAACTCCATTAACTATAAAAATTTATTATAATAGATTCTTTGGGGTTTTCTAAATATACGGTTATGCCAATGAGAATATTGTTTCATCCTTTCTAATTGCTATATTTTTCTTCCTGTTTCACATTTTTGTATTTGTTGGGACATTTAGAAAAATGTTAAATAATATTGCTGTACATTAGCCTGATTCCTGCAACTTTTCATTTTTGTTTTACTTTAAGATACATAATGGTGAATTATTAAAATATGTATCAGGAATAAATATTGAATATTATCATGCCAGAAGCCAGTTCCAGCTTGTCATAATTGCAAGAGTTTCTTCAAAAGGTTGATGGAACTTGGGGATTCTACAAGGGTTGAGTCACATATGTTATTGCCTGTTGGAATGGTTAAAGGCATTACCCAAACCTGAAAAGGATGCATTAAATTGATAATTTGCTGCCAGACAGATCAGGACATTTTTATCTATATGTTATTGCCTTTTACTGGCCAAACACCTGAACAGCGATAGGCTATTCCCCAATCTGACAATGCTTCTGTACAAAACTCTACCCTTTTGATGTGTATACCTCCATCTTGCCCTAGGACAATTTGTGTTAATAAAAGCAAAGTGTCCTGAGACAAGGAGAAGTTGGTTTCTTCAGGGAGGCTCCTCTGACCCCCAATGCCTTTTAAAATTATCTTTCGTCTATGGACTCTTACTTAAGTTACACACAGCCTTTCTCCACATTGCTGAACTCTTCTTAATGCCAGAACAAGAGCCCTGGCATTATCACATGTCTTTTGGGAGTCTACTGAGTTTTTCAAAATTGTTCTCTTATTTGAACATAACTGCTGTTAAAGAGATTACCTATGATTTGTATTCCTGAATTAAAACCAACCTAGTCATAGTAGATGCACTATTGAATTCAATTTGCTTGTATCTTATTTAGACATATTCATATCTATATTCATAAGTGATTTTCCTCTAAGGTTATGTTATGTATAATATTAATCCATTTGAAGCTTAGTAGAACAGAATTGTAAGTGAATATAGAACAGCAGAATATTTGCAAACTATTCTTGTGCCATTCTTGGTTAGACATCTGACCATGTTTTTCTCAAGGCAGTATTGTTTTGAAAAGCCACACATTTCCTGTTCTCCCTTTGTTCTTTGAATTGTACCAAACTAATTGCTTTCCAAAGTTATTTCCCACATTTCTCCCACAGGTACCATTTAGGTAAATAAGGCTTTTCAAAGTTAGAATCAGGGACTTGATCCTATTGGTGTACATCCTGGCACATCAAAGAGCATAACATCAAACACTCCTCCTCCCACCACCTCTTTGGTTAGTGTCCATTCTGATTACAAAGGAATTGAGAAAGAACCTGGGAAAAGGCCATACTTCTGCTAACAAAGTCTTAGGGAGAGATGTTTCTTCACAGATGGATTTGGATTAGAAGATTGATTCTTATGAGAGAGCTATAGCAGACCATCAAGAAACTCTTAGGATTTTTCTATCTGAAGTTGCTCGCTCTTATTCTTTAATGTTGTATATATACCAATGATCTGTTTTTTTAATAATGTGGAAGAAGTTGCTGGTAAAATTGTCTTGTGAAACACTATAATTTTTACCATATATATATATT